TCTTTTTTATTAAAGCATTAGTAAATTATTAATTTTTTTTTTTTTTTTTGACAGTCCATATATAAAAAGCACATGAGGCTAAGTTGTTTGCATCATTCTCATTTAAAAGGACTAAACCCTCTTTCAAAAATGGTTGTTGGGTATGTATGGGGAAACTGCTTAGAGTTGTATTCAGTCATTTGCATACATAATCTTTGCAAATTATTAATCAAAAACAATTGGATTGGAAGGCGTGGTGAGTTGTCCAAACACTTATGAAGCATGTGATTGGCAGTTTCCATTTTTTTACCAGAAGTGCATGGAGGTCACATTATTACTATTTTAACTTTTTATGAAGGGCATTCAATAACCCAATTTTTAAATTTCTGTCTTTCCATCTATTTAAATTTTCATTATGAAGTATCACTTTCAGTATAAAAAGACTTTCGCTTATTTTTCTAATATTAAAAAATAATTAACTTTAACATAATATTTTTTACATACATACTTTGTACTGCTAGACTACAGCATATTACCAGGGAATCTTTATGTAAATTCTATTTCATGTATAAATGTTAATTTACATTTTGAAAGAAAAATCTCTCCAAATACTGTTTCACAAATCATAGTAATTTGTTTGCAAGATTGCTACAAGTAAAAGCCTATATAGGTATATGCCTACCTCTGACGTTATGCAGCAGTATCAGTATAGTGCTATACTATTCCTCTAAGAGGCCACCAACTTTTATGCCTACATTGTCATGATTACCTTTCATAGATATGACCTTCTCCCATAAAGTTTATATAGATAGAGAGTCCTGCTCTGTTTAATTATATTTATCCCTCCCTCGTCAATTTTGGAAATGTTTGCATTTTAGCTACCTTGCTAAGCACTGTCACCCAACAACCTGCTGCCCTCTATTGTTCAACCTAGTAGTAAAAGCATTCAGATTGCCCTGCACATTCATGAATGTGTGCCACTTGTAGGTGCTTGTATGAAGTATTTTATAGAAGCTAACCTACCTTCAAGTCTGATTCTGTGGTAGCAGTTCTAAGATTCAACTTGGCCTCACTCTATGTAAGTCCATATAGGAAGCACACCATCAAATATTTTCTCTTGCTACTGATTTCAGCATCTCCCCCAGTATCTCTTTTCCGTATCCCTTACCATCCTTCCTTCTCACTTTACATATTGCACCAAGCAATCTAAACATTCCACCCTCTTCTTTTTCTTCTCTTAAAAAACCTTTGTTTCTCTAACCTTTCCACCCAACTCCCATCCAGAAACTCTTAGGGACATCCAAAATTTTCTTAACCTGACCCAAGGGAATGCTGCTCTTCATCCACCCTTCAATTTCTCTACTCTTATTCCTTCTACATCCATCCTCATCCTCATCATATTCCCCCTACCCTTCTTTTCTCCCACCCTTTCCCAACTTATACCATCCTCCCCTTATCCATTTGCACCATCCCCCTTCTTTCCCATTATCTCTTCTGCTCCCTCTTGGTTGCTTATATAACTCCCATCTATCACAAGTGTACCATCCCAGATCCTTCCCTTCCTGATGTTATTTCTGATACTTAACCCTTCCTTGGGCCCTTATCTGATTCCCTGGATTCTTCTCTTCCTACTTCTCAGGCACCCATTGTTCCCTCTTCCTTCCTCAGACACATAGATACCCTCCTTTTAATTTAATTCCCCTTCACCCTTAATCCCCTTCCCTCTTATGCTAATCCCTGCCTTACTTCATTTGCTCTTTACCTTTTTCACCACCATACTATCCTATTTTTAATCCTTTTCCCACACTAATTTACCATGGTCTATGACCTCGGGTATCTAGCACATATCATTTCTTTTAGCCATTAATCATTAATCATACAGTCTTATTAACATAATGAAATTTAAGATATTACCTCAATTAGAGTTACCTACAATTATGGAAAACAGAATGAACCATTATGTGATATTTCTAGGTCAAAGCTGCCTTCACACGCCTTTATAACAAAGAAAGCCAGCCAAGTCCATATGTTTCTGTACAAATATCCAAAAAGAAGGGAAACAGGGGTGGAGATGACATGTATGATGAGGAAGAAGTAGAGGAAGATGAAGAGGACACCGATGATGTAGCTTCAGATGCCATGATTAAGGCTAGTTTCTTGTAATGTCAGAGTGATTCATAAAGTATTACTTATTGGAAGGGTTTTGTATGTGGTTTGATATATGAAACTGACTGATTTATACATTTCTTTTCATATACTATACCCCCTAATATTTTATTTCAGTAGATGTTTAAGAAAATGTTATACCTTTATTCACAGATCAAGAAGGGTGGACAAAAGAAGGTGACAGAAATTGGCAAAGTAAAAGGCAAAGGATTACCCAGCAGTAGAGGAAACAGTGGAAGAGGGAGAGGAAGAGGGAAGAAGTAAGAAGTAAGAGATAATAGGGATGATGGAAGCATGTTAGTGTCAGTATTTCTGTAAGGTGTTACAGATTTATATAAGAGTTCTTTGAAATTCACTTGAATTAGTATGATATTCTTTTGGAAAGTATTGAAACTGTAATGAGAAGTAAAAGCTATCTGTAGCTGCTGAAAATATGCAAAAAAATATATTATTTGAAGAAAGAGAAATCCTAGTTTTGTTCAATGGTTACAGAAAATGAAATTATTAACAAGACACAACTACTCATTAACCTATGTGTAGGTGCAGACAGATACAAACATTTAAGTGAAAAGTTAGTTTTGACATCAAGTACAATAAAGTATTTTATATATTCATAAGGACAATTGTGTAAAAAAAGAAAAAAAGGATTTTTTAGCTTTAGGTGTCATATATAATGCTGGTGTGTCTATACTATATTTAACTTGTTTCATTGTCAGATTGATGGTAGTGAAGCTGTAAACATCTTTAGATGTGTACTTCATACTAAATACATACCAGATTTTGTAGGTATGTCATTTGTCATAATTAAAGTAAATCAGTCATTAAGTTCTAACCAAGAAACCAGGTATTCAGTGGAATTCCCATGTCTTTCCCTAGAGAATATTCCATATAAGTAGTAAAACATATATCAGTATCATAAAATGTTTTGCTTATACATTTTTCTAAATATATTCTTGTTTTACTCACTTTCAGTAAAAATCCTGTTTAGAATTCTAACGTTGAATCCAAGGCATGGAGATTTAGTGGATTTCAACAATATTTGTAGTATGGTGATCCATTAGGATGTG